TTTGCAGAACCAGGAATTGAACTCAGGCCCTTGTGCTTGCCAGGCAAGTGCTTATTCTGTTGAACTGTCTCCCTGGCCCTGTTTAGTAATTTTTCTCTTTTTTTTTTAATGTAAAACAGTTTTATTTATTTATTTATTTTCCATAATTTTATTGAGAAACAAATAGCAATGAGAGAGTTTCAAACCAAATTGGTAGGACAGTTTCAATAATTAACACATTGCATACTCTCTTCCTAGTGGTTATTTGCTGTACAAGATGCAGACATGATATCCTATTTACAAACACTATTAGAACAAATCCCTCTATTCATTAAGAGAATGTAACTATATATCTATCTGTATCTATCTTTTGTATCTGTGAATACACAGATACAAAATGGATATTCATCTGTATCCCCTTATTTGTTTAGTTCCATTGTTTAGTAATTTTTCAGTCTTGTATTTCTTTATTTATTGGGTACAGGATTTTGCTACACAGCTCAAACTTATCTTGATCCTCCTGATAAAATACACTGTTATTCCATGACTTACAAATTACGTATATAGGGGCCAGGGAGATGGCTCAGTGGAATAAGTGCTTTCCTGGCAAGCACAAGGGCCTGAGTTTAATCCCCAGTTCCACCAAAAAAAGGAAAAAAAAAAAAAAGGAAGAAAATTACATATAAAATGAGAAGTTATTTATTTGACAAATATATGTAGTATGCCCAGAAGCTTGCTGCCTTACTTAAATGTTAGAGATTCACACAAAATTCCTCTGTAATTCTTTTTTTTTTTTTTTTTTTCACTACTGGGGATTGAACTCAGGACCCTGCACTTGCCAGGAAGGCGCTTATTCTACTGAGCTATCTCCCCTGCCTCCTCTGTAATTCTTAACATAAAACCTCATGGTACAGGGCTGGCAAGATAGCTCAGTGGACTAAGCATCTGCTTAGGCAAGTGCAGGGGCCAGGTTTGATCCCCAGTACTGCACATGATGCCAGCCCTGCCCTGGGCCGCGCTGAGCTAGCCACCAAAACTGGGCGTGGTGGCACATGCTTATAATCCTGGGGCTGGGGAGGCTGAAAACAGGAGGATCATTATGAGTCCAAGCTGCATAGTGAGACCCTGTACCAAGTGCATTAAAACAAAATACAACGAAAAACAAAACCTCATGGCATAGAAAAGAGCTGTGCAGATATGGTTATTATATATGGGGGAAGAGCAGGGAAACCAGCAGAGACAGCCAGTCTTGCGTAAACGCAGCATGGTGTGGAACTTATTGTGCCTGGGGGTAGGCAGGCAGAGAGTGATAAGACCTTATGCAGTAAACAAGGAGAAGTGTACCCTTTTTATAAGGATAGAGAGAAGGCAGGGGACCTTAGTTGGGAAGATTTTAATAAATATCTGTGATCACAGTTCTCTGGCAGTCTTGCAACCCAGTGGGCAAAGTCCTTGAAGTATCCAGTGTAAATTTTCAGGTGTTTCCAGATGGCCCCAGGTGGCCCGGAACTTGCAAAATTCCTTGTCCTATCTTTTCTCCTTTGCTGTGCTTGCAGATGATAAGTTGATACTGAGCTGAGTTCTCTGCTGAGAGTTGAGTACCAAGCAGAGGGCAGTGCTGCTTCTGCTGGCAGGCAGGTTGGGGGCCGGGGGAGGCAGGTCCAATTGGAGCCCTACAGTTATAATGCAGTCTAAAAAGTGTAATCATAGAAGTAAGAATAGGGGCCGGGGAGATGGCTCAGTGAAATAAGCGCTTCCCTGGCAAGCGCAAGGGCCTGAGTTCAGTTCCCGGTTCCACCAAAAAAAAAGTAAGAATAAATAATAATTTCATGAGGAGATGGATGGTTCTTATGATAGAGTAGAAATTCTGGAGTTGACATATTTATGTTTATTTCTCTCTCACTAGTTGTGTAATTTTGAGGAAGTCACATTATATAGCTCTTAGAAAGACTGAATAAGAAAAAGATTAATGGTAGAAATATATGTTAAGTAGTTAAATACAGTATGTACTGAATTAGATAGAGAAATGGTATTTGTTTTTAATATATATATATATATTTTTTTTTTTTAATTTATGTGTGTGTGTGTGTGTG